AAAAAAAAAAAATTAATCAACCAAAAGTTTTGCGACTCCCATGCAGTACCTCCGCAGACCCCCTAGGGGCCATGGACCCCCTGTTGAAGACCTCTGATCTAAACGGATCTTTTTAGTAATGTTTAGCATTACTTATCAGTAATCTGGTGGATCATGGTGCATTCACACCAAATGCGGTGTCTGTGGCAAGGGCGGTCTATATAGTATTCCTATGCAAAACCCCAAGATCAGTGAAGTGTCCAGTGTAGATTTCAGTTTGACAGAACTGAGGGGTTGTAAAACAGCAGCACCACGAGGAAAGAGTGGAGAGGCAACCGCTAAAGTTTAAAAATCTGAACTTTTCTGGGACTCACATCACGAAAACCAACTGGAACTGGTTGTGTTGTGACATAGGTTAAAGAAGTGCAGCAGAGATTAATCTTTTATCATTAAAAATTGAATATAGAGGAAATAATTTTAACAAAGGATGAAATAAAGAATGCTCTTAATGGCTTTTACAAAAGCTGTTATAATTTAGTCCTAGATGTGGGTGTTTCCCAACCATGGTCCCCAGGGACCCCTGTTCTGCATGATTTAAGCGTTTCCTTGTTGCATCCCACCAGAGGACTGGGGTTGGTAACCACTGCCCTAGATGTACAGTAGAATCTGATCGTCATCCAGACCAGAATTTGAGCTAAGAATATTTCATAGGATGTACACCTGAATGTATCACATCTTTAGGCTTTGTGCGGTGTAGCGGCGTCTGGGAAGGGGGATCCTTTCCTTTCCCGGGATCATTGTGAAATTTAGACTCCTTGAAATGCTGTTTCCTGCTTTATGATGTAGATTGCTGCTAACTTTTTGTCATTGTTAACTTACTTTTGTCCTGATTATGGGAGATATTTGTGCTTGACTAGAGATGGAAATTTCATAAGACATGAGATCAGTTTCAGTGGAGGGATCATAGCACTCTGCATCAGCAGTGCTGTCTTTCACCTTGATCAGCTTCTCTGATTGGTTGATGTGTCGCATCGAGCAGCATGTTACATTTTTCCATCTGCAGCTTCTGAAATTTTGAACATTTGAGTGAAGTTTCCAGGAGAAAAATAGGGTGTACAATTTGTCTTTTTTTTTCTTGTGCCTGATCCAGTCACATCCCTGGATGAACCAAAGTGATCTACTTTAATAGCACTTCTGGGGCTTTTAATTCATTTTTAAGGTTTTCTCAAGCTGATTCATAAGTTGTTCACAGAGAAAAATGTATCAGTAGTTTATAATATGTTTCAACCGTACTGTTATTGTGAAGTGCCAATAGTGAGATTTGTCAGGAAATGCTATAGGGTTGCCAGGTGTAAACATCAGATCCAAATTTAAGGATCTGGTAGACTGATGAATTACTAAATACTTAATTAATGAATTGTTAGGTCCAGGGCCAACCCGGGACTGCCATATTATCTTTTGCAATAACTTTATTTTCTGTGCACTAAAAGATTAGACCAGGTCTGAGCTTAATCAAGGGTATGGTAGCCTCTCGATTACCTTAAAGATATCTTTAATATTTCTGAAACAAATGGCTGAGATGTGAGCTTCACGCAGCTGAAGCTCCTCCTATTTGATATTCATGTTAAAAACACTCAAGGCTGTCATCTCTAACCCATTGGGCATGAGACTCGCGCATCTCAGTGTCTTTACACGCTTTCACTCCATATCCGCAAATATTCACTCTAAAAAAATGACAGACATTAAAACTCTATTCCAACTCTATTCCACTTATTTATATATAAAAAGACCATGTTTATAAAAACCGAGTCCGCGTTTTCAACACAACCTTAGTGCTAACACACGAGGACATGCCAGGTTCAGTACAGGTCTGTATTTTTGCACCAGCCCGCCTATTTCACTGTGCAGACAGCAGCTGCGCCAGATATAAAAAAATACCAGAATTCCTGAGCAGTTATTATGAGGTATGTTATCTTATGCTTATCTGGACTAATATAATTCACTTTATAAATTAATGAAGCAATCAAGTACTTGGGTAAATATGAATAAAATATTCAGCGGCTAGCTTAAATTATCAATGTAGAGACTTGAATGTAGGTTCACATCAAACTGACATCAAATGGTTTGTTTTCCCTATACCTAGTGCTTTTTTAGTGAGTTTTACTCCTTGTTTGCTGTAGTTTATCTTCCTGATTTAGTCCATGTTTTACTCACAATTTAAATATTTATTACTCAGTCTTGTTGAATAACCCCCCTATTGGAATTTAGAACAAATTAAACCAACACAAATATCTAAGTTCTTAAAGCTTCAGGTTTACCTCACAAACCCATAGGAGCTCCACAAAAAGAAAAAGAACCATTGCATTTTATTTTTCAATAGATCAGCCACCAAACAAAAGACCAACAACATATTGAGAGGATGTGCAGAACAGCTCAGTTATCCAAGATTGATAGAGGAACCACCACAGGGATGTACTCATTTTATTATTACTTATTATTAATTTTTCCTTATTTTGGTCCATTGAATACGTTTAAAAACGTAATTTTGATCACACCTTTCCAAAATTAAATATTCATAGAAATGCTGTCTTGTGTTTTGGTAAGCTTTTATAGAATCTAGTAGAGCAGATTAATCATGAGTAATCAATTATTGAAACAATTGTCAACTAATTTAGCAATCCATTAATAGTTAACTGGAATAAAGAGACTCTTAAACATGTCTTTAGCTGAAAGAGCAACCCACCTTGAGCAGAAATTATACCAAAATTGTAAAACAAGTATGTAAACATTTAATATTTAAAATAATTACAGTATTTTAGCTTCACCTGGTTTAATTTAACTAAAAATCCTCTTTAAGGAACCTTTTGCTTTCCGATTACTAATTGATTAATCAAAAAATAATGGACAGATTAATTAAATTGCAAAATAACCATTTGTTGCAGCCCTACAGCCTCATAGAAGGTCTGAATTATTTAGCTGTTTTTATCAATTGTAAGAAAAACTAAGAAAAAAAAATCCTTAGCCTATTACCAAATATTCAAACACAGAGTTATTTTAATGGGATTTGATTGCACTGGTTCCTGTATTAGTGCCAGTAATCCAGTAATAACTTATTAGTTCCCCATGGTTTATTTTACTTGAACTGCATAGAATAATTAAGAAATACAGTTGAGAAATTCTTACCAGAGTATAGAAAATAATCTATATTTTGTAAAAAAAAAATGTTCCACAGAACTACAGATCACTTATTGTTATCCAGTAAAGTTTACAGTGTTATCAAAAATTCCGCATTTTGCCACTTTGTTTCAGTTAAATCGTCTGAAAACCTATAGCTGCACCTATTCGTATAGCCTTTCAATCGAACCCTGACAAGGGTGGCCTGTCCAAACTATTTCAAAATCTCACTCCAAGGTTTGGTGAAAAGTTTGCAGCCCAGAAACACTGCATCTGAAAGGAAAAGCGGTGAACTCCCCGCGGTGATTGCAGAAATGACCACAGACACTGCGTTTGGTCTGAATGCACCTTAAGAGGGGCTTGGTCAGTACAGGGTAACATGGCAGCTAGCTGGCTTTAGACATGTTGTGGTAGGAAGAGTCTGCATCGATGTTGATAGTTAAACCACAAATGGATCTTTTCAGGTTGAGAATTTTTCCCCCTTGTTACCTGTGGTTGAGAGCCTCATTAGTTTGAGCTCAAGGCGCTTACTCATTGATGAATCCGGTGGTATTGAGTTAATGGAGTTACTTCAGCTTCAGCACCCTTTTCTATGCCCCTCAGCAGTTGGCTCAGTCCAGGTCGCACCTGATTTTATGAAAAAATAAATAGTTTATACCCATTTTGCAGCTCACAGCCATAGGAAGCTCTCCCGGACTAAGAAGCAGTGGTTAAGGAAAGAGGTTAAGTGTGCTCTCCGAACGAGAAACAAATAGAGTGAGAGATGAGCAGAAAATAAGAGTACATAAAACACTTTCTGCAAAAGCAGGGAGGGCTGTAAATAAATTGTTTTTGAGAGAGCAGTTAGACTTGATTATTAGCATGACAATGCTAGCAAAGCCTATTCAGCATATCTCAATGCTTTTAATACTTTTGAATTCGGTCAACAAACGATCTGAATAGAAACTTTAGTTCATTTCTTAAATTATTTAGTGTCAACTACGCCTCTTAAAACCTTTGGCTTTCTGCTCAACAAATTGGTAGAGCATATTTTGAGGCTTTATATCTAACTTGGGCATACACTGAAACTGACATACCTTATTGTGAAGAACTGTCCACACAGGAAGTTAGCAGTGGGATGTTAAAAAAGACTGCTCTTTGTGTCAAATATTTCAAAGGTAGGCATAATAATTAAAAAAACCTATATTTCACTTAAGGGTACCAAAAATAATTTTAGATAATAAAATGTTACCATTTTATTTAACTTTATTTAACCTGATAAATCCTGTTAGGACTCAGAATACAGTTCTTGTTCTATGAAACAGAGTAAAGCAGACCCCCTCCTCAATGGTAAATACGGTCATAATCTTTTACTTTGTGGGTTCATTTACCGGATCAACCGCTTTGAGGTAAGATCTGGCCCGAA